ATACATTGATTTTTATCTATGATGATAAGTATTTTAATATCCTGTTGTTGTACGATGAGAACTATCATTCGAATATGTTATTATTAGGAAGAAATATATTTATTTAGAAGAATTTATACATAAAAAAGAAAGTGACAAATAAAAATGCAAATTTAGTTTTCAAAATGTCAAAATTGTTCTTTTTTTTTCATTTATTTGGATAGAAATATAAAAGGAAAAAGCTGATTAGTTACATAAAATAAGTCAGACAAGGAGAGAAAAAGGCAAATGAATCAATTTATTCTTATTATAGAGTTGTAGTAAGTCTATTTACCTTGTTCTCTATTTCTTTCTATGCCTCCACACATTGTTATATACAAACTACATAGGGATTAGCCAAATTTTGTATGTCATTCACTGTTGATGATTGAGTTATATCCGGAGAATAAAATAATGAATAGATAGACATCAACATTTTCCCTTGATTTATGTCTGTTGTCATTAAATCATAATAGAAAATCATTGAAAAATTTACTCTATTTTCTTTTCTCAATTTAAATTATAATGATAAATGATATTGAATATCCTGTATCAAGATTAATTGATGGTCCTTGGATTGCATTACTTGTCTTAGGTATTCTAATGCCCATTTTATCAATTGCTGGTATTGTTCTACTATATGTTTTCTGGCGTCGCTTTCAGCCACGTACACTATTGAACGATGCAAATCGTTTTATGAATAATAATAAATCAAATGGTAGTATTCCTATACCAGTACAAATCAATGATCGTCAATTACAAGGCTATGAAACACAAGTATATACTACAATAATATTTTATTTCTATATAAAAATCTTTTTTTTTGTATTATTTTAAATAGAAAATGGAAGTATTTGTACCGCACAGTGAAGATGATATAATTCCACATGATTTAGGTGAAATTCATGCACGTTTTACACCACAAGATGGTATTCAAGAAATACATAAAACATATCAAAAGTATGTACATATCTATTTTAATTAATTAATTAATTATTTATTTATTATATTTTAGAACAAGAGCTTATTTTTAAATTAAACGTATCTTTAGTTTTTTTTATCTTTGTTTAATCGTTGGAAATTTTTTTTTTATGCGTAGTTTTATATTTGTTTAATGTTGCTTATGTAAATGCCATTTCGTATTAAGAAATATCTAATTTTAATAAATGAAGTTTTTCTATCATTGAACATTAAATATTTAGTATGTTTACATAGTGAATATTAGAAAAAAAAAGGTAATATATTGTGACAAAATAAATCAAGAAGAAATACAAATATTAATCTATTTGTTTAATAAGAACGTCACAAAGATCTACTTTGCATGCATCTAACTATATATGAAGCTGTTAATGTGACATTTTTCAATGGCATTGCATTGGTAGAGAAAACTAATCGTCGGAATGTTTATTTCTATATCATCCATTTGTCATAGAAAAAAAATGTTTTGGTAATCTACATTCGATTGAAGCATGAGTATATCTTAATTTACAAATAAATGATGAAGAATTTCTCTTTTTCTATACTAACTACGTATACAATATATTTTCATTTCATTATTATTAGTCGATTTGAGCAAAAAAGAAATCTTCTTACAAAAATAAATGATGCGTTAGTAAGTACTATGTTTTTCTAGGTTTTTTTTTCTCACATAGTGAAATCATTCTATAATCATCTTTATTCTTTTTTTCAATGTTTTAACATTATTTTATTTCCATAGGATGATAATAATAACTTGCTAGATACTTTTTTTTTTATTAAATTCTACTTAATGAGCAATAGAGTGTTATTATTATCGAAAAAAAATTAATTAAATTTTTTTTCGTCGTCTTCGAATTCTAATAATGTTATTTCGTATATGTATTCATTTATAAAAAAATCAATAATATAACATTGTACTGCTAGTAATAGTATATTGTAGTTCATATGAAAACAAAAGAGTTGTATTACATATGCATTGCTCGATGTTTTGTGATAGTCATTCAATGGATTGAACTGCTGCCAATCAACAAAAGCAGAGACATACGAGAAAGAGAGAGAGAGAGAGAGAGAAAAAAAAGAATGAAAGAGAGGAAATAGAAGCGAAAGTGATCCTGGAAACAACACGGGAAATAGGCTAGATGCTCTGTTGCACCCTTTTCATTACTTGCCCGCCACCAAAGCAATGATGAAGATGGAAACAAGGGAATCAACATGTAAGAATAGAATGAGAAAAGAAGGGAATAGAGAAAGAGGGAAGAGCGAAAAAAAAAGCGTTTTTATTGATGAACAAAGGAAACTTTATCTTTTGCCTCTCTCTCGCTCAGACTATTTCGCAGTACATTCTGTTATAGTATGCGCTCTTTTTTGCTACAATTTGCGACCGTCCATGACTAGAGCAACGCAAGCTAAAGGAAGGAAGAGAAAAAGAGAGAATAACAGAACAAGTGAGAGAAGGAACAAATGCGAAAGGAATTCTCTTCCATTGCTTTTCCGTCACAATCATCACTAGTTCTACAGCTAACATTAGGTTTGGACTAGCAAAACATGTGTTTCACAGGGTGAATATTGGGGTTGAAACAGAGAGGGAGAGAGAGAGAAAAGCAATCGTAATCGTAATGAAATACTCTTCTTCTTATTTTTTATCATCATCGTCATTGGAGCCTTCAGATATATACAAAGTTGGCATGCCAGATTGTGATGGTGAACAGGGAAGTAAATGAAAATAAGAAAAAAAAAAGACTTGCGCACTCTACTGCTACTAGACGACCGCAAATGCTCAAGTGAGGAAGTTAGGCACGCTATGCATGCACGGCATATAAATGCGTAAAGCTGAATCATTCTCATGTCCTTGTCTTTCTTATTTAATGATGTCAACGGCAGACTCTTGCATATGTCTGACTGTTAACATTACTCTGAAACAGTCGTCTCAATATATCTTTCTTTTCTTGTTTTTCCTTCTTCATAATATTATTAGATCTGTACAGAATTTTTTCTCGATTATGCTTATCCTACGCACATAGTTTTCTTTCTTTTTTTTTTTTTTCTATATGCAATTTTTCCGTCCATCGATGTCTATTAAAGTATATATTAACTACAGAGAGATGCCACCAAGCATCATCGTTTGACATTAATCGAGCTGCTGTTTGTCATTTCCACATATTTTCTTGCATTGAAACATGTAATGAGCATTCATCTATATATATGCTCTTCAAACTAGTTAATGATTCGAATGATGACAGACGTTTACCGGTCTTCACATCATATTTATTTTATTTCTTCTTTGTTGTTTATTAACATGTTTTTATTATTCTGAAAGTTTTGACAATGGTAATAATCAGACGAACTGATGGTATCCTTCCGTTTTTTATTCTTATTTTCACTTACTTTTTGTCTATTCTGCTTCTCCAATGTCATGCATCAATTACAAGATAAAGAATCTGTGTTTTCCACCTGATTACACGGAAAACAATTTCTTTCTCGTTTTCTCCTCCTCTTTCTTTTCAGTCTTCTTTTATATTTTCTTTCTTTAGGATCTCCTATTTTGCGCACATCTCTCAGTGACATAAACTTTTTCTCTGCTTCTTCTTCTTGTTATATATGTCTATGCAGGGGTTACACGAGCAAGAAAAGACTACAACAAGCTTTCCTAGTCATAACATATATACGTCAACGATTTAATCTCTTTTATTTTCGTTGTTCTGCTCTTTTGCTGCTTCTCTAGTTTTTCTTCTTCTACTACACACACACTCTCTCTCCGTTATTTTTATCCGTGTATATGTGTGTGCCATTATCAATTCCGCTTGGTTAGATTGAACATACTCAGACACGAAAGAAAGTATGTATATATGCCCCGTGGCATATATTATAATTATATTGATAAGGTAAACAATTAGTCAATAAAGAAATTTTAAGCATATTTGTGTTATTTAAAAACGGAACAAATGTTTCCCATGCTTTTATTTGACATTTACGAGTGTAGTAACGAAAATGTGTAGTGTACCACAAATTGATGTATAAAAAGAAAAATCGCCGATATAGACCCGTCATTTATGACACTTCATCGTTCTCTGTTTTATATTTATATATATATATATATCTGTAAAACAAAGACTGATGATCTAGTTTATGCCTGCAAGGCGTCAAATATTAGATTGTTTTTTGATTTGATTGTCATTGTCTCAGCCTCCAGACAACTTACCGATGATAATATTATTTCTTCTATATTTTTTTAGTAGTTATTTATTCCGAAAGTTAACGTTAAAAGAACATATTATGTATACATGAAGATTCTCCATTTATTTTTCTTATCATCAGTTTGAGAAAAGTAATAAACGATTTTTTTCTTCTCCCCTTTCTCTTTATATTGATATTTGGTTAAAATACGTGATCTAGATTGAATAATTAGATTAAACGAAAGAAAATATTCTTTTTCCAAAACGTTTCTAGTTTCTTGTTTATCGATCAAGTGTATTTACAACAGAAAAATGATCAACTAGTATATCAAATAAGTGTGAATAATACAGATTCTTTTTCCCGATGCCAAATTTCTCTTTTTTTTTCTTATTAATAAAAATCGATATTCACTCATCTTTTTTCTTAGCTCACTCAATCATCATCACTTTTATTTATGTATTATTCTATGACATACACAATTGTTTTTGATAGAACAACTTGATGATTATAGCTGCTCCATCTATATACTACATCAATCACTTTTTGCTTTTTTTTTCGCTCTCCATAGATGAACGTTCTGAGTCTTTGGAATATTTCTAATTCAATAACTAAAAATGAAACTATTTTAGATTATTTTGCTGTTGTTGTAGACCGATGCTTTGCATGTCAGGCCACACGTCAGCTATATGTATGCAGACATAAAATTGTGCTTGCTACGTTTTGATCTAATAGGTCAGAACATCAACATCGATGTGTTTTTCGTGCAGGCATATTGTGAAAATTTCTTGATAGTTGTTCATATTTATCGCATGGCCGATGCCGATAATCGGGTTATTCTAAATGTTGGCGGTATTCGTCATGAAACCTGTAAGTAAAAGGAAACGCGTTTTTCTCTCTTTTTTTTCTTGCTAATGGATTGATAATATTTATTTTGTTTTTATAGATAAAGCAACATTAAAAAAAATTCCAGCAACAAGACTATCCCGTCTTACTGAAGCTCTATCAAATTATGATGCTGTCCTTAATGAATTTTATTTCGATCGTCATCCAGGTGTATTTGCACAAATACTTAATTATTATCGTACTGGTAAATTACATTATCCAACAGATGTATGTGGTCCTTTATTTGAAACTGAACTTGAATATTGGGGACTTGATGCTAATCAAGTTGAACCTTGTTGTTGGATGACATATACAACACATCGGTAGTAGAAACAACAACGACAACAAAAAGAAAGAAATATTTATTTCTTTTTTTGTAGAGATACACAAGATGTACTTGTTGGTCTTGATCGTTTAGATCTTGATGCTGAACCAATAACAGAAGAAGAAATTCCACGTAAATTTGGTTGGGATTATGATCCAACAATTCGTCATAAAAATATGACTATACAAGAATATATGGCTTCATTATCATGGTATACACGTTTACAACCACGTATATGGCAATTATTTGAAGAACCTTACTCAAGTAGCGCAGCTAAAGTATATTAAAAATGACGTTCTGAAATTTAATTATATAATAAAATCAATTATCTTTTCTTTTTGTATTAGGCTATACAAGTTGTTTCAATTTTTTTTATACTCGTTTCAATTGTATCATTTTGTTTAAAAACTCATCCAACAATGCGTGTACCAACAATAACATTAGTTGAAAATAATTATACAAATATAACACCAACCTATACATTATATAAAGAAAGAACTGAAGCACATGAAGCATTTCAGTACATCGAAATAGTATGCAATGGTAAATAAGAATCGCCCGTTTTTTGTATTAATCAATAATTTTCTTTCTTTTATATTTAGTTTGGTTTACATTTGAAATTATAACACGTTTTATAGTTTCACCAAAAAAATTTGGTTTTGTTAGATCACCTGTAAATATAATTGACTTTCTCGCAACATTATCATTTTATTTGGATATATTATTTAATAAATTTCTCCCACCATCATTTACAAATACAGATTTATTTGAATTTTTTTCTATAACACGTATATTTCGTTTATTTAAATTAACACGTCATTATGGTGGATTAAAAATTCTTATACATACATTTACAGCATCGATGCGTGAATTAATGTTACTTATATTTTTTCTTGTTCTATTTATTGTCATATTTGCTTCGTTAATTTATTATGCTGAACGTTTACAAAAAAATCCCGAAAATGATTTTACATCAATACCAATTGGTCTTTGGTGGTCAATTGTAACAATGACTACTGTTGGTTATGGTGATATGGTACCAAAAACATATGCTGGAATGATGGTTGGTGGTTTATGTGCATTAACAGGTGTATTAACTATTGCATTACCCGTACCTGTTATTGTTGCTAATTTTGCGATGTATTATTCGCATACACAAGCACGATCGAAATTACCGAAAAAACGCCGAAGAGTAATGGCTGTTGAACCAGTTAGACCAGCAAGAGGTCCAGGAGGAGGCGGTGGAGGTCCTGGTGGTGGCGGTGGTGGTGGTGGTCCTGGTGCAGGTCCAGGCGGTGGTCCTCCAGGTGGTGGAGGTGGAGGAAAAGGATTAAGTAAATTTGGTATAGAACCGGGAATGGGTGGTGGACCTGGTGAACCACCTGGTGGCGGCCCAAAAAAGAATGTTATTAAACAAGGTGGTGGCGGTGGTATGGCTGCTAAACTTGGTATGACTGAGAATAATATTGTACACAATCGTATTGGTAAGATATTTTTATATTTCAATTTTGACAAAAAATATTATTATTTTTTTTTAATCAGAGATCAGATTTCGTTTTTTTTGGATATTGAGTTTTACTTTCTAATCTCTCTCTATTTAGTCACCAATACTTTTCAAACATTCCTCGAAGGTACAACCATGCTTTAAATCTTTTCTACTTCAATTAAATATATATGTTACCTTTATCTTCTTTGCTATACTCATAGTAAATGATATACATCTGTCGCTGTTGATCTCTTCTTTTCTATGCTATCATTGTATTCATATTCAGAAAGCAAAAGTCAATCATCAAATTTTTTTCTTCTGCATGTACTAGATATCCAAATATGAATAGATTTATTTTTCAATCAAGTCGAATAATTCTCATACGTTTTACATAGGACATGGTGATGAAGAACGTATACCAATGATTCAACCGAGTCCGAGAATTAGTGGTCATCATATAGCCAAAGTTTAAATAAAGAAAAGAAAAAATTTTGGATCATTGAAATATTTAGGTACGATACACACTGAATTGAATTTGCTGCTCGTTACAGTTCGGTTTCGTTCGAATGATATATAAAGCACTTATATTAGTTTTTGTTACCTACACACGCACGATTTTATTTTTACATGTTTGATATTTTTATGATTTTCAATGGGAGGGAGATGCAAAAAGGAGGAAATTCAGCATATATATATATTTATCTATTTGCCTATGTATGTTAATAAACTAACGCATCTCTTTAGAAGACCATGCATTGTAATGATTGAAATGAAGACTTGTAAGTTTTAATATATATCCTTATTTTCTCCCTTTTTGATATCTCACTCCCTTCTTTTTCTATTTTAATTATATTCTCTTTTCAACCCGCATGATATATATATTTATTATTTGAAGTATTTCAGTTTTATTTACGTTTCTGGTGTCAGTAATTGTTGTTTTGTTCATACATTATCAAAAAAACTTTTTTTAATTTTACTTCTTTTGTTATAGAAGAAATGGAAATGAAAATCGGAAGTGACAATACGTCGCCAATAAATAATAGCACAAGTACAATTGATAATCAAAATGATGGTCAACGATATGGACAACATTCTTCTCCTCGTACACAATCATCACGAACAGTTCTTACTGACGTTATTTCATGAATATTTTTTTTTGTTTTTGTTTATTGGTGATGCTACTAGTCAAAGTGCCCCTCTTGTCAACGTTTGAAGAGACTTAAATATGTGAATGCCGTCCTTTGCAGCTTCTATTGTCGTTTCTCTTTATCGAGTTCCTTTTTACATTGTTGCCAATTGTGATTAATTCTTCTTTTTTTCCTTATTCTTTTCTCTCAAAACATTTGTTTTTTTTTTCATTTCATAGCACGTTTGTTCTGAGAGATAAATAAAAGAAAAGAAAAATATAATGAGAAGCAAACTAAATATATATATATATATATATATTATAAAAATATACATAAGAAACTCATTCGATCGTTCGGGTAACCGCTAGAGAACGGATACAAAATTGAATTTGATCTATCGCACGTATGGAACAATCACACAACGATCGCGAGGAATACTAATAGTAGAGAATGAATATGAGAAAAGCGAGCTGAATAAAGAAGCGATTTCCCTATAGAATTTCATCGAAGAATAAAAAAAGAAGAAGAGAGCATTATAACCTTGACAGTAGAACCTGTTCGGGAATTTATTCATGAAAAAGTAAAGAAGAAATGATCAAACATATTATGAATGAAGCAAAAAAATAAGACTTAGGACAACAGAGAATAAGTCAATAATTAAGATATATTTATTCATTTATTTATTTATTTATTTATATTCTTAATTCTTTACCAAAACTTTTATCAATTCGACGAATATATTCTTCGCACCACATTCGTAATGATTGCTTATTAAATCAAAGAAAATACAATATATAGCTATAGAAAAAAAAAGAGAAAGGAAATAATTACTTCACATGTACTAAGGATTGATTTTATTTCCGAATGTTCAATAATTGGTTCAATATCTCTATCTGTATATAATGAAAGTTTCCATTCATGCGGTAAAGTCTATTTAGAAAGAGAGAAGAAAAAAAACTTAATATTTTATCGTCTTTATACATACAAGAATTTGAGATTTAGGTCGAACTGTTCGTCTACCAAGATAGAATAGAACAGATGATAATACTTTTAAACTAATCGATTGATTTTCTGTTAATTGACCAAGAATTAATCGATATTTAATTGGTTTAATGAGTAACTTTAAAACAAGAGAAATTATAAAGATAAATTTTTTTCTTAATTTACTGTTGTTATAAGTGCTCGAAATATAAATAAACCAATTAGTAAAAGTATTGCTCGTTGTTTCGTTATATTAATAAGTTTGGAATTATCAAAATCAAGATATTCCTAGAAAATAATTATTAAAAAATAGAATATGATTCATAAAAAAAGAAATATACACGTTCACATTGCCAAAAATATCTTTCAGGATATGAATTTCCATCTTGTAGAAAACTAGATATAGCAGATTTTTTTGTCGTTCCAAGAACACCATCTTGAGGCTAAATAAATTCAATATTTCATACAAATAAAAGATCTTATCAATAATAAAAGGCCTATGTAAAACTCATTTTCTTCATTGTAATGTCTACTGACTTTTTGTTTTTAAATCAATTATAGATTCACTTATTTCTGACTAGGGATTTCCTTGCTTTTCTTTATTAACAAATCTAAAAGCTGTTACATTTCACAGCAAAGATTTTACCATAAATTGAATAATTTTTGAAATAATATTTTTAATCGCATTTCCAATATTATGAATAGCTTCTGGATAATATTTCGACGATCGATTTAATCCATGTTGTAATGAAATTGGATCAGTTACTGCTTGCATAAGTGCATTAAATATTGGACCTTCCGGTTCAAGATAAACACGATGTAAAGCAACGAGTAATTCTTGAAGACGAATTTTATGTATTGTTGCATTTGGTGATTGAATAGGTCGACGCTAAAGCCAAAAATATAGTTGTCGTCATTGGAAAAAACAATCTTTAAACTTACTCTACGATTTCTAATAGCTTGATGTTTAATAAGTATAAAGAATAAAATCCCGGTAGAAACTTTATGAAATAAATTTCGTCGAGGTTTTCTTTTCTGTTTTTGTTGTATATTTGGTACTGTAAAAAATCCATGATCATCTAAAGTATTGATAAAATTATTCAGGAAACGAAGATGTATATTTTCTACCATTATGGAAATTCTTTTTCTGATATTCATGCGCAGACACATCACTTTCAATTTCAGATTGATCTGTTTCCGGTTGTGCCACTGAATGTATATTCATAATTAAAGAATAATTTTTTTCTAGAGCAACTTACCCTTTTTCTTTGAAATAGATTTTTGTTTTTTAAGTTTTCTTGATGACCTCGGAGGATTCCAATGTTCTAAGTTTAGATGATGAAATAAGTAGATAAATAAATATTATGAAAAAAATACCTGTTCTTGTTGTACGATAAATATCACTTGGTAATTTAGCTAAATGTTCCGATGAAATAAATGGTAATGTTGATTCTTGATTCTGAGAACCATAGTTAGCTGATGAGTTTCTTGATATGAAAATAAGAGAAAATAAGTTATGAATTTAAATACAAAAGATACTTACTGTGAATATTCATAACGGCTGGAATCATATGCCGATAAAATCGGAGGTAACCTTACATGAGAATTTCTATGAGTAGAACCATTATAACCCATCTAAATGAAAGTAAGCATTTGAAACAAAAAAAAATTGTTTTTTTTAAATACATCATTCAAATCATCATCATCATGACCGTTTCGCAATCGAGACATTTGATCATGGGCATTTGAATTTTTACGCATATAATCTATAATAATAAATGAACTGAAATTTGATAATTATAAAAAAAAACAAACCACCACGATCGGTTTGATTTCTAGATGATCTATGTGTATACATCATATTATCGGTTCCTTGTCGATTTCGAAATGATAATTGTCTACTCAGATTTGGTTCTATTATGAAATTTAAAAAAAAATCTATCGAATTCAAATTTTATTGTATACCAGCTGATGGAGTAAAATGTCCATTACTTCGTCGTATCTTATCGAAATTTGACTAAAAAGACAATAGAAAAAAAAACATTTTGTTCATAATATTTCTAAAAAATATAAACATTAAATCGACGAAAAGCCAAATGACGTCTGGCCATTGAATCAATTAAATCATCCATATTTGATGATGTATATAATAATTGTTCCTCTATTATTAATAAAATAAAATTTTATTATGAATATAAAATTCTATTTATTGCAAACCATTTAAAGGTTCTAAAAATATGCGCGAGTCATAAGGATTGTTTGATATTGAGAGACGTTGAATTGGTCGATAATGTTTACCGAATGTTTCCTTTTGAAACAAAATTTAGATACATTTTTCCTAGCAAATCTGATCTTACTGGTATTCGTTGACTCTCGAGATTCTGTTCAACATCCAACGAATTTTGAAGATTATTTTCTAACTTTCTTTGTGCTAAAAATATTTATTTAAATCACGTTCAAAATATTTTGATAATTATTAAAATCAATATAAGAAGGAAATAACATACTGATGTGAAAAAAAGGTAAAAACAATATGTTAAGAAAAGAAACATACGTGATCGATTAATGGATTCATTTCTACTATTATGATGTTGTTGCTTAAAATCCTAAAAATAGTACAGATTATTTGATAAATAGTTTTAAAATAGAATTTTTTCCTTACGGAATCAATTAAACGAAGGCGAAGTTTATGAATATTATCTTCAATATTAGTCTCCATTGGTTGTGGTAGAGACTAAAAAAGAAATTTTGCAAATAAAAATGTCAAGATTGTAATGGATACAAAAAGCAATTTTTTTTGTTCTGCATTTCTTTCTCTCCCCTTTTCTCTTTAACAAAAGCACGTAAGAAAGAACATGTTATTTCTGATGTTGAATTTATATAGGTTGTCGTCATAGTTGGTGATTGCTGTTGCTGTCATCATCAATATAATCTGATCTGTTTTTTTAAATTTTATTGAAATGAAAAAAAAAGAGAGCGAACTTACTAATATGTCTGATGAAAATTGGTTGTTATCACTTAATGTTGATAAAATCATGGATTCTTCTTCCTAGAAAAAAATTTAATTATTGGCTTTTTAAATATAATTTCTAGGTTACAATATTGTTTTTTTGAACGTGAGAATTATTTTCTAGTAATGATGATGGTGGTCGAAGTTGTATTTCATAAGTTGCATTATTTGATGATTGATCAAGATTATTCGGCATTAAAATAAGACGAGTATCGGAATCATATTGTTTATTATCGGATATATGATCTTGAGAAGGCGGTGTAACTGATCTATTGTCATTTTGCGTCGGTAATCGAAAATCATGTATATTTGGTGATATAAGGTTTTCAAGTGGTGATGGTGATCGATCATGAAGTGAATATTCTTCTTGTGACATCTGTATGTTACACAAAAGAAATTGATTGTGAATTGAATATGTAGTAGTAGCAGCAACAGCGGAATAAGTAGAAGCAATTGTATAACTTCTCTAATACTTTTCTCATTATACTGAAGAAAAAAAGAACAAATATCAATAAAAAAAAGAGAGCTCAATAGAACAAAACATATAGTGATTAAACGTAAATTTTAATTATTTCTCTTTCTTTTCTGTTTAAATAAATAATAAAAAATCTTGTTTTATTAGATCTCAATTTTAGATGTATATTAATTCTCGTTGTTAAATAGCGTCATCTATTAATAATAGAAAATTTCGTTAATCTCCATAGAAACTCTAGAAAAAATGGTTGTAAACATTAATAGAAGAATTTGTCAGTTAATCTTAGTATTACATATAAAAACATGTCGAATAAAGAAATAAAAAGTCGTTATCATATATTACATGTTGAAGTTCAACATGGTAAGAGAAATCATTTTGATAAAATAAGATATTTCCTATGATATATTTTTTAAGGTTCGGATCGATTTGATATTCATCTTCATTTGGAACGACCACCTATCGTAAGAGATCTTATGGATGAAGTTGAAAAAAAAGCTCGAGTAACAGCTATGAATCAACAACTTATATTTCGAGGTATTGACATATTTTCTCGTTTTTTTCCTTTAAAAAATATTTGTTTTTATCAAGGTCAACGTTTACATCAAACTCCAGATAAAGAATTAGAAAAATTTGGTATATTCAATGGAAATCATGTAATGTTAATTGGAGATAAAGTAGGATTGCGTACAAAAGAGAAAACTAATTCGATTTTATAATATTATTATTTAGTTATCGGGTCCAGAAGATGATCATTTTCGACGTTTATTAAGTATTGAAAAAGATGTTAAACTTATTGATGATGTTCTTGAACTTCTTTGTCGTGATTTTGAAAATATAAAACAAGTAAAAATGAGTTTATTTTTATTCAATTGAATTCTTTTTGCATAGGGGAATTTTAGAGTCAACAAACACGAAATCAATGTGATCATATTCTTAGTGATTTACAATCACGTACAGAACGTTGTCAAACAGATTTGAAAACATTTGCATCGATTGCAAAAAATTTAAATGTTGATAGATCGGAACAAGATGCTTCGAGAAAAAAGAAGGAAGTTGTCGAGCTTATTGAAGTAATTCAATAAATTCTTAAAAATAAATAATATTTATTTATGTTTTGTATTTAGGATCGTATTAATATTTCAACGAATATTATTTCGGCAATTTCATCATATTAATACAACGATATGAACGTTTAAGAATGACTTTTTTCTATCCTATTAACTCATTTTATTTACTGAAAAAAAAATAACTCTTTTTACCTGAAATATGAGTGAATTTTTTGTTTGTACCTTAATTTGTAATAATAATAATAATAATAAATTGCAAAGTATTGTCAAAGTTTGAAAATTTTTAAAATAAAAGATATGAAGCAAATATTTTATAAGTGTGTAATGGGCATGTCTATTTCATTTTAGTGAGCTACCAATTAGGTTCAAATGGCATAAAGAGCTCTTTACATTTGATTAGAGAAAAAGGTTGTATAAACGACTGGTTTTTTCTAAAAATTTTGAGATCTTTTTAAGAAGAGGGTGAGTATATTCTCAAAACTACAGTCGTTATTATCTATTCTGATTAATCTGTACAACTCGTGTAATCATCGTTGAGTCGATTCGTGGTACACTAGGTACGAAACGATGTTTCATTACTAGATAGCATTCGAGTTTCACTCAATTTCGAAATGCAATGCAAAGCTTCAAATTTCAAAGAATGAATGAAAATCATACAAAAAGAACTGATCTAATGTAATGATTTTTATTTTCGTGAAACAATCAAAGTCATGTTATTATTTCAGAAAAAACTGGTGGAAATAACCATTTAAATGGAATTTCCTTGATTTTTTATTTCCAGAATATTTCTGAAAATTTCTCCACAATGATTTGTAGTTAGAAATCCATTTAAATATAATCATTATCTGAAAGTTCAGTTTGATTCTCTCTCAGAGCTACATTCACTTTTTTACAGTCCACAAATCTGTCATTATGCTTCTCTATATTTTTCCTTTTTTTCTTTATTAATTCATGCAAATGAACTCTTTTCTCATCCTTAGAAATAATGGATAAATGAAAGTCATTATTTGTGAACAATGATCGTGTATTGCAATTAGGGTGTGATAAAATAAACTTTTTCGCTCCTTCTATTCTTCTACGTTTCTGTTGAGTATCTTTCTTTCTTATCTAACACAACCAAACTCTATTTGTTCAGACATAATAATGTAACCGTGAAGGTCCTTTCTACAATGTATATCTTTTCAATATGTATTGCTTACCTTACCGGTGTGTGTTACTGCTTATACTGTGTTCTCAACACGAACAAAGTTTCAGTAGAGACACATTTTCTTTTTCCACCAATTTTATTTTATTTTTAAAAAACATTATAAAAAAAAATTATAAATTCTTTTTTATGCGTTCAAGGTTTTTTCGGTAACTTTGAAGATTAGGATGATTTGATGGTAATGATTGTTGTCCAATTTGTACAGCACGCTCATAAAATGAATCAGCTTTCGAATAGTTGCCCATATGTTCATACAACAAACCGATGTTGTTATAAGAAGTACCCAAATCAGGATGATTGGAAGGAAGTGATTGTTGTTTAATTGCAAGATCTTTCTCATAATAAGAAAGTGCTTTTGGATAATCTTCCATGCTGTCATACAACAAGCCGATGTTGTTATAGGAAGCACCCAAATCAGGATGATTAGAAGGAAGTGATTGTTGTTGAATCGTAAGGACTTTTTCATAAGATGAAAGTGCTTTTGGATAATCTTTCATGCTGTTATACACAATACCGATGTTGTTATAGGAAGCAGCCAAACTAGAATGATTGGAAGGAAGTGATTGCTGTTTGATTGCAAGAGCTTTTTCATAATAAGAAAGTGCTTTTGGATAGTCAGCCATGTTAAAATACACCACACCGATATTGTTATAGAACATAGCCAAATCAGGATGATTGAAAGGAAGTGATTGTTGTTTGATTGCAAGTGATTTTTCATAATATGTAAGTGCTTCTGGATATTCTCCTTGAACATCTTTGATCCAACCTAGCTGGTGATAAATATGAGCCTTGCCACTTTCATCCGTTGTTTGATGAAGTAAAATTTCATAAACTTCTTGAGCCTTTTTAAACTGACCCATTTTAAATAGTAACTGGCCTAATCTGTACCATCCTCTCGAATTTGGAAAGGTCTCTTGCCGGATACGATCAGTAAGATTACGAAGATCTTGATCGTTGTCACTGGTCAGTATTAAATTCACTTTATAGAGATGATTATCTCCAGCCATTGGTTTAATATCTCCAATACGAAAAATAGTATGCATAGAGAAGAGAACTTCATCTTCTGTATGAAAATAACTAACATCACTAACAGAAGCAAATGGAGTTGTTGAATGGGTAGGATTAATTGACATAACAAATAGTACTCCAACAAGATCAGGATTTGTAGCAGCTTGCTGGGCGAAATCAAGAGAAATATTACGATTTTTACTGGTGGATAGAAAGTTATTAAATGAAAGAAGTCCATTTTTTGTTTTTGTCATTTCGGTGAAATCTTCTTTTGAAAGACCTTGTCCGCGATAAACTGTAAATGTTGTACCTGATTGATGACCCTCGAATTGTTCAGAATGTAGTCGTTGAATATCACGATGTAGATCATTAGTAAAGAAACCTATTCGAATAATCATGTCAACGTTCATTGATCTTAATGCTTGATTGAGCATACGATATAAAAATGCATCCCATGTATACCACCATATGGGTATGTTGTTTTTGTATGTTGTTTTCAATAGATTAACATTTTTTAATTCATTTTCGTCATCTTTATATACTTCACGACAATAATTAATAAATTCTTTGAAATGTTTATCTTCGAATTTGATGGTTAATAAGATCTCTTTCAAGATCTGAGTATACATGAATGATGGATCTAATTGATCCAATTTCTTGTTTGATGCCACAAAGCTGATTGATGTGGCATTTTGCTCACATTGGTGAGCAGCTTGCTTGAGAGCTTCATAGATCGATGTGATATCTGTGAAGACTCCTTTTATTTTAGGCCATTCTTTGGCCCATTGTTTATGCCATTCTTGATTGTTACAAAAAATGAAAATAGTGTCTACTTGGGACATATTATGCAAATGAGGCACAGTATATTTCCCAAGTGAACCAGAAACAATCATGCATACTTTGTTGTTATTGATGGTTTGAATAAATTCAATACACTGGTCGCCATCTGTAAATGTGTTTATATTGTTAACAACACGTTTCAGTTGTTTGATTGTATTACTACAATCAGCATTATTTTCATTAATATTGTTGTCCAACCAAATAAGAAGGACATTTTGCATTCTTTGCATGTTCATACGTCGATTTGCACCTTCATCCTTGGAAAAGTTTGATATGTGTTTAGCATTACCTTGTGTTTTGGTTTGAACTGATGTTACTGATTTGTTGTTCGCCATTGTTTGGTGTAACGTAGACTATTTCAAGAAGAAATGTTTATAAATGAATGAAAATAATATGTCATTTTATAGTATAAGAATTTTCTTTCGAGATTGTTCTTTTTATCATCATGTACATGCTTTCTCTGTTATCAGTATTCCACTTGGTTTTTTCATGTTTGGTAAATATAAGTCACAAAATATTACAGGTATAATCAGAGATATTTATCAGTTACCTACAAAACGAAAAGGGCGTTAAAGTTTGGTCATTGTTGATAATTTAAAGAAATAATCTGTAAGAAATAGTTCTTAAAATACTTGTCCTTACAGAAAATCTGTAAAGAGAATTATTCTTCAGCCATTATTACAGAATGATGGAAATTTACAATTATTTTCCGTTGGAACAAATGATTACTGAATAATATGACAAAAATGCCAAAGCAATAATAAAAATTTTAATAAAGATATTCTGTTGAAACAATGAGAAACGAGAAACATTTAATTATTATGTGTTGTCGATTGTTCTTTTTATCTTCTTTTTATTTTCATAAGCCAAATACGATGTGTATGTATGTTCTATTACTTATACAATGTTATCAGAAATATGAAAGATCAACTAATATGCACATTCAGGTAAACCAAAAGAAAAATACCAGTATTGATATATTTTTAAAATGAATAAAATTCATGGATGTTTCTTTACGCATCATTTGTTTCCATACCAGTCAAATCTTTGAAATAAATAAATTAACTACAATGCAATCATCTAATTGACTATTCTCATCTACTTGCCACTGGATATTATCCAGTGGATAATGATTCGATGTAAACTTTTGTAAAGCTTTTCATCTTCTTAATTATGTTACAATCTTCTGTAATAGACATTCATATATTTACTTTTACTTGTCAGTTTCACAAATGATTGTTCATCTCACAAAAAGTATTAAAAAGTATTTGCATATAGATGAGAAAAATCTATTGAAGGTATTTCAATATCATCCAATTTTGAAAATAAAGAATTGAAGTTATTCAACAAAACTTCCTATTTTTGAGAATTGAATTATAATACTTCTATGTATCTGTTTTGAAGACATCATTAAAATACAAAAAACAAGTTGATCGTGTATATTTTGAAATTTTATGTTATGAAGCATTTTCATAAAGAACTTAATTGTTTATAATTTATGAAATTATCCATCAAATATACTTTCAGATTTTAAATAGTAATAGTAAAAATTATATGTACTTATATAAACATAGATCTTCTTTGTATGTAACATCTGCATCTATGTTTAATACTAAACAAAAAAAATATATAATGTGCAAATCAATAACTTCACTATATAAAACTATTATATGTAATCAATTTTTTCTGCTTAGGTTAAAGTAATAAAGAGAACGTAATTTATATATGAACAATCGTTCTCTTCACTGTATATGACAGTAGAATTCAAATTAACTTTTTATTAAATTATTAATATAATCATTGTATAAAGTATATTTGTATTTTACCGTAAGATTATATTCATGTTGAGCTTGAAGCCAGCGCTATTTACGAACGAAAAACATATGATGATCAGTATTTTTGAATGCTTTGAATCAATTATTAAAATAAATCATGACTTAGTTTTAGATAATAAAATATAATTTGTGTTACGAAACATTAGGCAATGGAATTAATTCATAGTATGTAGTCACACGTAGTCCTTTCATTAAAAAAGCATCGATTTATAAGCCAAACCGTTTATATAATTTATTTACTTGGATATACCTGAAATTCTAGCATTAGAGTATGGGTGCATCATATATATTCTAATTACTCACATCCTCAAAATATAAAGGTAGTTAGCTTGTATATATATCTAGTGTCACTACTCATATTATCAGCTATAGTTTCAGCTGTAAAACGGTTGTTAGAAAGAAATGACGCCTAACTTTTGCGTCTGCTTTTGATTTTAATTATCTTGAAATTTAAAAAAGTCAAAATCGTGTTTTTGCGACGCTTTCTGTAAAACAAGCAAGGAAAGTCGTGAACGACTACATAAATAATTTGCTTCGCATCTCATTAATTAGTACAAAGCTGATATTTTATACAGAATACTTTGAAACAATGATTCAGACTTTAGCGTACCCTGTAACAAAACTAAAATTAAATAATCAGGATTAAAATCTACACATCCAAAATTTCAAGTATTTATTCAAAATATGAATGTCCACATAACGAGTTTTATTTGTTGGTTTCTATCTTGTTTGACGAAATTTAACAGAATATATGATATAACAAATCGTGATCACGATCAAAAATATTAATCGCGTGGAGTACACTACTTAAAATAGGAATATATTTTTAATTAAATACGGAGTAAATTTTCCATATAAGAAATTATTTTAAATCCATAAAAATCGATCGAATTAGAGCAGATTTATCCCATGTATATACTTCTGGTAATACAGTCTATTCTATATAAATACATATGACATATGAATTGATCTCATGTCAAAGATATGAACACATTAATATGACAATCATATATTATGCGAGGATCTACAACACACCCTATAGCTCAAGTGTCGATATGTCACTAATGATTTGTTTTACGAAAAGAAAAAGAAGTAAGCAAGTTATGATGCGCATCATTGCTTTTCACATATCTATGAGAGCAAATGAACGAACAAAAAATATGCGCATGATATATTTTTTATATGTTTCGACCTCGTCTATCATATGTCATTTTCTCTTTCTGCCCATAACGTGTTTAATATAACTAGCTTTGAATTCATTTTACTTTGTTTACCATGGGTTTTATGTCAAGTAAAGAACAATCAATGGCAAAAGCTATTGAAAATCAAGATATAGAAGCACTCAAAACAATGATAAGAGGTTATACATCTGAAGAAATGCATACTATATGTAAATCTCTTGTACCTGGAAATAATAATCAATGTACAATGCTTCATTTTGCAACATGGCAAGGTATAACAAAATAAATTTTACTGAAATAAAAATTTTCTTACTTTAAATTTATTAATAGATAATCCAGAATTATTAGAATTATTCTTAGATTATGTTGATGATTTAGAAGTACGTGATGGTCTTGGTTGGACACCTTTAGGGACAGCTGTTAACCGACATAGTAAAGAAAATGTGAAATTATTATTAAAACATAATGCAAAAGTTGATTGTGATGGTACTCAAGGCATGGATCTCATTGCTAATGCTATGAGTTGTAATGATATTGGTACAAATTATATTTGATATGATATAAAAATAATCAATTTAATTTTTTTTTCTTTTTTTGATCGATAGAACTTATTCAAATTCTAATGGATCATGGTGCTCAAGTAACAACAACATCAGAAACACAAAATGGATGTTATCTATTACATTTTGCTATTGATGATGGTTTTATGGATATAGCTAAATTATTAGTTGAAAGAGGCAAAATACCAATTGATTTACTTGATCAATCAGGTTGGAGTGCACTTCATTTAGCTGCAGGTCATAATTTTTCAGATATGGTAAAATTTCTTGTAGAAAATGGAGCAGATATTAATATTAAAGTATGATTGAATTTTTTCCTTTCTCGAATAAACATACATCTATTATAGGATTTTAATGGAAATACACCGTTAGCATGGGCCAGAGAAATGAATTCGAAAGAAGTTATCGATGAACTCGAAAGACTTGGTGGTAAAGCTGATACAGAATGGCATGGGGAAAAATTAAGTTTAAATCATTATCAGAAACTGACTGAGGAAAAACAAGGTATTATCAATAGTGAATTTGAAATGGAAGGTGCCGAAGGAAACAAATCTTCTAATGATAATGATTCAAATTTAATCGATGCACTTCAACGTCTACAGTCAACTTGAATATTTCTATTTGTATTCGATCAGAATGATCCGATAACTTTTAAAGTGTCATAGTTAATCTTTCGAAATTTTTCTGTTCATTTTTTTTTATTCATTTCAGATAATTTCAATCAAAAAGTGTTCTAAATATAAAAAACTTTTCATCCTATTTACAAATAAAAACATAATTGTCAGTCAATTCTTCATGTAATATGTTGAAAATTAAACACCGGAGAATAAATATAAAATTCTTTGTTGTTTTTTTCAATAAATCTTGTAATAGATTTATTCATTATGGTTTATTACAACATGAATTACACATCTTATCAAAATTATGTAGGAGTTCTTGTGGACATGGTAACGCATCCATTCCAGAAGGACCTGGTAAACCAGGTCGTCCACGAAATCCACGTTGTCCTTCTCGTCCTTCTGCACCCTAAAATAAATTTTCTATTAAATATTAATTTAAATTATTCACATACTTTTTCACCTTTCTCTCCTGCCGGACCCTAAAAAAAAACGCACAAAGATAATCTCATTATTATACAAAAGAATATTTAACTTACTCGAATACCTTGTTCACCTTGATTACCCTGAATATAAATATTAAAAAAAAATTATTATAATATAATCAAAAAATACAATAGTATTAGTCGATTTCTTAGTGTTATGATAGAGAACCAGCAACGCTTTCTATATCGATAAATATGGAGAGATTAAACACAAACGAAGACTTCATGCACTAAATACATACCACTGAACGCTTTCTATATGTATTCTCGAAAATATAAAAAAATAGGTTTAATAAAACAAAATATCTTTCATACCGGAGAATAACCAGGTAAACCTATTGAACCTCGTTCTCCTTTTTCACCTTTACTTTGTTCACCCTTTTCACCCTACAATAATCATAAGTGTCTATCAAAATAAAATACATATCTGGAAAAATTTACCTTAACACCAGGTGGACCTTTATCTCCTTTTAATCCCTGAAAATAAAATAAATAATTTTTTCTTATGAAACATATTACATTTTTAGTTACCGTCAGTCCAGTGTATCCTTGATCACCTTTTGGACCATCGAATCCTGGTTGACCAGGAAGACCAATTCTTCCCTAAAGAACATATTTGTATATATACTCATAAGAAGTTATTCAAAACAATTTTTCAACTTACTCTGCGTCCTGGAAGACCTGGTGGACCTTTCAAGATAATATGTGTTTGATTAAAATCAACTTTTTGAATATATCCGGCGTCACCTTTAACACCTCGATCACCCTTAAAAATAAATAGTATATTGTTTTCATTGATTTATAAATGAATTTATACTTACTTTGAAACCTGGTGGTCCTTGAATACCGATATCACCATTTCTTCCATCGATACCATCTTGTCCAGGTAGGCCAGGACTAAAATCGATCAAGCATATATATTAAGTAAGATAAAGTCATTGTTTTATTTACCTTCCTGGTAGACCAGGAGCACCACGACTACCTTTTGGTCCGATAATTGAATAACCAGCATCACCTCTTAATCCCGGTGGACCAGGTTCACCTTTCGGACAAATTAAACGACGTCTTTTTGGTCGAATAATGGGCCCTCGATCACCTTTTTCACCCTAGATTTGAAAAAAGGTTCATAACAACAATAGAATTCATTCATTCATTCAAATAATCACACATGCATCATATATAAATACTACAATGGCGAACATCACGAAGCAAAACAAAACGGGGTAAATCATAACACAATGTATAAAAATATAGATTAAGCGTTGCCTGGTTTTCCATTTATTTTTTCGTATCTATTTTTATCTTAATATATAAAGTTTCTTTTATTTTTGTTTACATACCTTTTCACCAGGTAAACCCTACAATAATACAATGAATAAAATATAAAGAAGCAATATAAACATACATCTTGACCAGGTGGACCAACTCTACCAATGCCATGAATACCAGCTGGACCCATTTCACCTTTTTGTCCTGGCGGACCAGGTGGGCCTTGAATAAATTTGGCGTCAGATGATGATGATAATCTTCCTACTTGATCCGATGGTCCATTATAACCTGGTTCACCCTTTTCTCCCTATATAAAATACGCATTCATTTATATATACATATCATAAATATCAAAATATTTACTTTTACACCATTCCAAACGATTGAACCAGGATGACCTCGTTCACCTTTTGGACCCATTTCACCCTGAAAGAATTCACTCATACAATATCATTAATTTATCTTTTATCATACCGGAAATCCTGCAAAACCACGATCACCCTAAGATATAACATAAAAAATTCAATACTATACTTTGAATTTCAAACAAACCTTTTCGCCTTTTAAACCTAAAAAAAAATATATTTAATTTCAATTAGATAAGTTTATTTTACAATAGTACCTGGTGGACATTGACAATTTAGTTTTTGTGTATCGTGTATATATCGTCGTTTACGTGTATCAACCTAAAAACAAAATATTGTCTAGAAATGCTTCTCTTTTTAGATGTTTTTTAATCAAACTGTAATACTCGAGACTAGAATTATCATTTTTGTCAAATTCGAGTGAAAAAAAAACATAAGTTGATCGATTGCTTTGATTCAATCAAGCTTATAAGATGAAGAATGTAACGAAAAGTTTTTGTTAAATTAAACAAAAAGGTCAATACAAGCACGTCAATTATTATTCTTTTGTCATGTTATTTCATATAAAACAAACATAAAGTTTAACATAATATGTTACATCACATAATGTAAAAGTAAGTGACATTCTATTTCAAGTTCTTCATATTCGTCGCGTAATACTCAAGTGTTCATACTTGTATGTTCATCAATTATTGATCGAAAAATACGACTATGTCATAACGAAAGTTACTTTTTAGTACATTGCATAAATATATAAAGATATTTTTACATGATTTGGTAAAAATCAAAAGATTATCTTTTGAGTTAATGGAAAATTAAAATCTAATCTTTTACCTTATATGATTTTGCAATAGATTCATTATGATTTGAATCTTTTAATATAAATTGTTGTATAGAATGATAGATTTTATTAAACCATTGTTCAAGTGATGGTTGTTCATGATGAAATGGTGATATTGATGATGTTGAAGGTAATAATTCTGTAAGAATATTTTCGATTTTTGTTTGTCGTTCAGATAATATTTGATATTGATGTGAATTATAAGCATTCCAAGCAATTGAAATTAATATTAAAAATAAATAAAGTGTATGCGTAGAAAAATACATTGATAAAAACCATTTTTGATGATAGGATACATGCGTTGATTTTCTCTTATCAATCGGCATATTTAAATTATATGTATGTATAATTATGGTTTAGGTCAATGATATAAATAATATTGGAGAAAAACAAAATATGATTTGATGACGAATTGTTAATATAGAATATGTATATATATGCTTGTACGTATATAAAGAAAGAGGAAAAGAAGTATTGTTAAAACCAAGAAAGAGAGAGAGGGAGAGAAAGAAAGAAGAGAACAAGTATATGATGTTTTGTCCTTTCTCTTCTGGATGATAATGAGGAGAAGAAATTTGTACATTATAACATAACTAGAATAAAATGAGCTTTTTAAAAACAATTTTATATTGAAATATATCATCATCTAGTTTATATCAAAGAAAAAGATTAAAAGTAATTGATTATTAAACTATAAAAAAATATATTATCATGAACATACGTTAGACGAATGTCCTGCAGTGCTCATCACTCAATTATAATTGTTGTATATTCTTCTATCTTAGGAATAGACCATAGTTGGGGTAATTATCCAATGACCTTTATTTAAGCTGAATTCTGTTTGGATGACAACTGTTGTTATTATTATTATTAAAAGAAACCTTGTTAACTTTGATCGATTCTGTCACAGTTACTATCGAGAATGAACTCAATGCTATTATTCATTGATCTTGATCAAATTTCTGAAATATTTATATGTCATTTCTTATTTCCACATAATCAAATCATAATATTTATTTCATTCTTTTCTCCGATCTTAATCGAATATTATCACTTTCTAAATAGATAAATGTTCACCAATGTAAACTTTCTATATTAAAAAAAACTTTAACATAAATTATTTAATGATGACATCATTCTTCATTTATATATAAAGAACTATTCTTTATTTAGACTAGATGTTTTTACTTAATTATTCTAAGAGAATATTTATTTGGAAATTGTTAATTAAATAAAAAAAAGAAAATTAATAATATAAATATTATTGTCAATAATGTGCTTATAGAAATATTGATTGTTTGTTGAAGTTGATTCATGTTGACAGTTTTTTCTTCTTCTTTATAGATACTTTATATTCCCAGTATAGAATTCTTTCTTTCTTTAATATCTTTTGTATCTCTATGTTAGAAAATAGCACGGTTGATTGGTAAAGCTCAAAGTTGTAATAGTCTTTTTCTTTTTGTTTTCTATAAAGAATTTCTCAGCCAATCATTATTAAAAGAATAAATTCGAGTTCTTTCTTTTTCTTTTTCATCTCATATTATTTTTATAGAAAAAGAAGATATAATATAATAGTTTCAGACAATAAGTAAAACTTAAGTATTGTTTGCAGATTTTTTTTACATGACTAGAAAACAAAAGACTATGCGTTGAAATTCATTATTAATTGACAAGCGTGTTGTGTGTCAGGAAAAGTAGGTAGATTGAAAACTATGCTAGAAGAAAAATAGTTGCAGATATTATCGATGTTACATGAGCGCGGGAGCGAATAAGACGAATAAATATCAACTGTTGAAATAGAGATAAGAATAAAAATACCATATCTATCTTCAGCCTATTTATCTATCATTGTAGAAGAAGAAAAAAAAAGTAGTACATTTCCGCGTTTTTTTCTCCTGGCCTCTAATGAGAGAGAAAAAAAGAATCAGTTTAGTCAAAAAATATGTGCGTGTATATCTCGGTCTCGCTCAAACGATTAGTTTCCGGCACTAACAATTATTTCATCTAAACCTGTCTCTCTTATTTTCATGGAATTTTTATCAAAGAACTGTTAAAATGATTGTAGGAGAAAAAAAGAATTCATTCAGGGTGTAAAAAGTCAAGTACTGTGAAAAGTCAGACACTATTAATAATAGAAAAAAAAATAGAAATAAGACTAGCTAAGTAGAGGGGAAAAAAGGAAATTGTGAAAAAGTAGCATAAAATATTGATTTAGTTTCATAATGCATACATTCTTTTAATGATGGTGATCCTTTTCTACTAGTCAATCGATAAAAATAGTCTACTTCTAGATTAAATTTCTTTTCTTATGGCACGTTACGAACGATTTGATGATGATACACCAGCACCAAAATTTACAATTATTACAACATCAAATGATGAAAAAATTGATTTAATTGTTACAACATCAAAACCAACATTATCACCTGAAGATGAAATAACAGTTCGTCATGCACTTATAACATTAAATATTATATCAATTTTTGTTAGTACTGTATGTGGTTTAATAACATTTTTCTTAGCTGTTGAAGAACAATCAGCATCAGCACTTGGTTTTGCTGTTGATACTATACTTGATGTATTAGCATTTAGTATTATTATATGGCGTTTTACAAGTGCACATGAACAAGCTAAACGAGAAATTTATGTCTTAAGAATGTTAGCAATACTTTTTTTTATGTCCGGTTTCGGTGTATTTATTGATTCAATACTTGATCTACGTAATCAAATTCATCCTATACCAAATCATTATTTAGCTGTTGCAGTTGCAATACAAACACTTGTTTTTTTATGTTTAGCATTTGGTAAATATACAGTTGCAAGAAAACTTAATGTTATATCAGCTTATTCCGATGCATTTAATACATTTATATCTGGTTTAATGGCACTTTCAGTAGCTATAAGTACAACAATTTATAATTCAAATTCAAAAGTTTGGTACCTAGATCCAATTATAGGCATGTTTATATCAGCAACAATTATGATTTATGGAATATGGATGATGTTTCAATCATTTAAAAAAACTTTTTAACTATCAGATTTTATTATTATCATTAAGTCAAATAATTATATGAAAATAAAATAAAATACAGAAAAAAAAATATATATATGTCTATTTTAACGTCCTGGTTGCCATGGAATATAAGCAGCTGTTGTTGTTTCATTAGAGCCTGAATTCTTACTGCGTTGATTGTGATCATAATTTAACATAACAATTGTAATAATAACACCAATCATTATTAATGTCGTCATTAAATTAAGTACAAGTGTACGTTTTGACCATTTAGTTGCTGCTTCATAAACATTTTGAGCTTTTAACTGTTTCACTTTATGTGAAAAATAACAGCAAAGTATACCAAATGGTATAAATAATAAATTAATTACCGACCATACAATATATGTTGGAATATTTTTAGTAGATCGTAATGGTGCAAGCATCGGCCCATTCGATTGAAAACTTGCTCCAGTAGTTGTATTTCGATTACCAAGAGTTAATGTTGGACGAGCATTTGAATTTCGTTCTGTTGTTCCTCCAGGACGATTATCTACTGCGGAAGCCATATTGATTTCTAATAGTCACGTTTCTATATAAAACGCAACCCTAACAATGTAATATACGAAACAAAGAGTCAATCGTCTTTATTCATGTCTAACTATTCGCTTGAATGATTCTTTTTTTTTCGGTATGCACGCGCTGAGAGAGAGAGATTATGATTAAAAGACAAAGAAAGGCGTCTAGTACATGTTATTTATCAAAGACTAAATACATCCCATATACATAAATTATCGATTAATGACACATCTGAATGCAATTATGTTTTTATTTGAATTTTCGTGCTGTAAAGACAAAACAAAAAAGTCAATGGTGAGATATATAATGATTACATAACATAAACAAGTTATTGTCATTCTTAACACACATACAATTCTCGTTAATTCTAACATTATTCTCTCGCAATCATACAAATAAACTTGTTTTGAGATTAGAAAAAGAAAAACACATATATGAATATACATGGACGAAATTTGAAAGAAAAAACAAAAGTACTATTATTTTTTTCCCGTTGGTGGACGTTGATTCCGTTGGACGGCAGGTGGAAGAAATTCATTTGATAACATGGGCATTGTTGTATCTTTATAATAATCTGTTTCTTGAAGATATTGTTCAATATATGTCATCATTTGTTCATATGTTATATCTCCATTGCTATTTGGAATAGTTAGATCAACTGAAAAAAGAATGTTATCATAAGAAAATGTTTTTCTTTGTATAGAAAAAATAAATTTACCAGCTTTAAGATTTAATGAACTAGTTGATGCTGATCGTGATGAGTTTGTTAAAGATTGTATACCAATACCTTGTCTTCCAATTCCACTATCAAATTCAATACAATCACTTAAATGATTTGATAATTTTGATAATTCACTCTTTAAATTTTGTGATGAACCTTTTGAGAATAAAAATAACCTATAACGATCAATTAAACGACGATATTTATTATTATTGGTATTCGATGGAATCTAATTAAATAAGAGAATAATATAATATAATATCGTATTTTAATTAACTTACACATGATATATAAACTATTTTATGAACTATATCAAGTAATTGACTAACAGGATCTGTTGGTCGAAGTCGTTTTTGAGATATACTTATTGATGCAGTTGCTGATGGTGGACGTGAACGATTAAATGGACTTTGTCTTAAAAATTAACATATGAAAAGAAACTTCTATAAAATAGTTTTTATATATATACTTTCGTTCCGTATTTGATGAACTTAATGAAGGATGTGTTGGTTGTGCTATATTATTACTATCATAACCACTTTCAAATGATATATTTGATGATTCAGGTGATCGTGCTTGATAAAGGGATGCTAAATAAGATGAAAATTTTCCTTTGAAATTCTTAAGATTTTTATTTTATACTTTCAATTGTATTTAATGATTGTTCAGAAGAAACTCGAGCTATTGGACGTCGTATTGTATTTGGTCTTGTTGAACCACTTGGAGGTTGTGGTGTATTACTATTTATTAATTCTTTTGATGTATCAGGTGTTTCAAAATCAGAAACTATAGAAAATGAAATTATATCCTCTTTATTCTATTTATTTATTTACCAGCAGTAAATGTATCCGGTTTAAGTGTATCAAGTTGTCCTTCAGTTCCATCAAAACTCACATCAGGTATTCCACCACTATTACTAACTAATGATTCTTTTGTACTTGAACAACTAAGACATCGTTGATGATAATTTGATTGTTGCTGTAATTGTGATTGTTGTTTTATTAGATCAAGTTCACGTTGATGATCTTGTTGTCTTAAACGTTTTTCTAATGTTTGAATTATTGTACATGAACGATCTGTATATAACATCATTTGTTCTGTACATAATTGTGCTACACAACATATATCTGGACGACGTAAAGGATCAATAGATAAACATTCAATAATTATTTGTCGTATACGATCAGAATAATGTTTTAATGGTGTTTGATCATAATCACTTGCACA